GTTTCAGTTGTTCTCTGATGCTCCTCTCCTTCCTCCAGCAAGAGATCGAGAGCGTGCTCCGATGCCTGAACAAAGGCGAAGGAACGGAAACATTCGTAGCAGGAAGGACGGACAAAGGGGTACATGCTTCCGGTCAAGTGGTGAGATGTTGATAGATACTATGATGATGATGATGAGGATGAGGATGAGGATGAGGATGAGGATGAGGATGAGGATGAGGATGAGGATGAGGATGATGACTATAATGCGGATGGTGATGATGATCACGAAGATGGCGAGGAAGAGGAAGAGGATTATGGTAGTTGTGGTGGTGGTGGTGGTTGTGATAATGATAATGAAAGAGCAGATGGTAATGGAACTTATCATGTTCTACAGATCCATTTTCAACTTCCTAACTGGTTCCATGGAGCAAAGGCGCTGCACGGAGCGATGAATTCGACGCTACCGCCCGACATTTCAATCACTTCTATCGAAGAGGTAGGAGAGAATGATCATGGGTAGAGGAGGAAGATGAGGACAGGACTGTATGAGCAGAAGAGAGAAGGGAGGAGAGAGGAGAGAGGAGAGAGGAGAGGAGAGGACGGGGGCAACAGTAACAACGAGGAGCAGGGGCAAAAGAGAGAAGGAGGGGAGGAGGAGAAGAGGAGAGGATCAGGAGGAGGAGATAAGATGGCTCGGATTGATCTCGTGGCAGGTCAGTCCGGACTTTCATGCTCGTCATTCTGCTCGCTTTCGGAGGTATGAGTACACTATCTTCAACCACGACCATCGCTCCGCCCTCGTCCGCAACAGGTGGACCCTGCTCCTGCTCCTCCCTCTCGTCCTCCTTCTCCTTCTCCTTCTCCTGTGCAACATTTGCTGCTCTTCTCTTCGTTCCTCTCTTCTCTGCTTCCAACGTCTCTTACCTCCCTTGATCGTTTCTTCCTACCACGTGCTCCCTTGCCTCTGCCTCTTCCACTTGCTGACAGCCCCAGTGCTTGGCATGTCCCGGAGCCACTGGACGAGGACGCGATGCAGGAGGCTGCGAATTTTCTCATAGGCGAGCATGACTTTGTGTCCTTCGGCGCTCCCCCGGAAAAGTGAGCAAGAGGAAGGGGGTGGGGAAGTGGAGGGAAGAGGAAGGAAGGAGGGAGGGGAGGAAAGGGGAGGGGAGGAGAGGAGAGAAGAAGAGGAGATGGTAGAAGAGGAGAAGGAGGAGGAGGAGGAGGAGGAGGAGGGGAGGAGGAGGAGGGGAGAAGCAGCTGAACAGGGAGCAGGAGAGGTCATTGCGTCCGCACAGTTCTTGACATCAAGGTTCGGAGAGTCTCTCCATGTCTCATCGTCGTGGATGTGAAAGGTGTTTCCTTCCTCTACCACATGGTAGGAAACCTCCCTCC